TTTGAGTTTAATTAGTGCCACTTTTTAATTCATTGTTTCATGATGGTGAGATTGGACACTTCCAACCAGAGCTTTTGCATTAAGGCAGAAAAGACAACGTATAAAACATTAACTATAGCCCTGCAGCGTACTGCTCTATTTGTTCTTTTTCAGAGAATGCAGTCTAATATTGTAATATATATTGTACAAATATCTCTTACAGTTGCTACCCAAAGCTTTACAGATCGCCATTGACGAGGATGTCGAATTCCGACGTGGACTTCCTTTACATTATCTTAACTCTATGGGATTTACAAACTCCGAAACTGTTAGTAGAGTTTACTGTAGTTGTTTAGTTTGTAATTTTGAGAAATGTTTTTATTCATTACTGTATATCAGGATTTGCTGGCAGTTCCTGGTCATTTGTTCTTGTTATCATTGTCTGAATCGGGATTTTGGGGTTTTTTTCTGTCTGGTTGTGAATTTTTTCATGGATTTAATTCTGCAATTTATTTTTTTAGTCTAGTAAAGAACGTTCAGAGTTTCTTCGACGTGTGGAACAACTTCTCATGAAATTAGTCTCTTATCTACCTGTTGATGGCGCAGTTGATCAGGTGAACTAAACTAAAGTTCTTTTGTTTTTATACTGGATAGCTCATTTCTTAACTGCAGTGACATAAGCAATAATATCAAAATGTCTTTTTCTGAGTACCCTTTTGCGTCCAAATGTTTTTTTAATACTAACAATAATTTTATTTATCCTTGTTTTTCTACTTATAGTGTCTATGTTTTTCAGGGGTGGGGCTGCATTAATTTTACAGTTACAATATTTCTGCGTACATCTATAAGTTAGACAAATAACATGTTCAATTACCAAAACAATTATTTAATTAATATACACTGTCAATGGTAAAAAAATGTAATTCACTATTCAGTCAATATACAGTACCTTTTCAAACGCCAGAACTCCGTTTTCAAACGCTAGAACTCTCTTTACAAATGGCATAACTTGGTTTTCAAATGCCATAACTCCGTTTTCAAACGCCAGAACTCCCTTTGTAAATGCCAGAACTCCCTTTGTAAATGCCAGAACTCCTTTTTCAAATGGCAGAACTTGTTCAAATGGCATAACTTGTTTCAAACGCCAGAACTCCGTTTTCAAATGCCAGAACTCCATTTATACAAATGCCAGAACTCCCTTTTCAAATGGCAGAACTTGGTTTTCAAATGCCAGAACTACCTTTTCAAACGCCAGAACTATCTTTTCAAACGCCAAAACTTCCTTTACACTGAATGCCAGAACCCCCTTTTCAACTGGCAGAAGTGTATTAAGTAATAATATACCTTGAGATGATTTTAAGTGTCCTATATTTGTATTTCTAGATGGGCATCAAACATATTCATGACAGTTTACCGCCCGTGCTGAGCAAAGGTGTGTAATCATGTTCTTGGGTATAAATCCAGGTTAGAGCTGAATTAATATCAGTGTGGATGCTGAACGAATTTGAGTATAATACCTGGTCTAAGCTCCTTTAATATTAAACATTTTGTAAAATATTTAATATATAAAGCCTTAAAGGTTAAATAAGGTGTTGTTCTCATGCCTCATAGAGGAGAAAAACTGCAGTATTTTTAATGTCGGTGCACATTGGCAAGATGGTCAGGTTATTAATTCTGTTCAATTGGACAAAAATACTGAACTGCGATTGGTGCGTAAGGACGCTGTAAGGTGAGTTTCATTCTCATTGTGTTTACTCAATAAGCTCCACCTTAGTTTAAGCACTGCATACTTACATGCATGAGCGCAAAATTATTTTGAAGAGTGCCTAATCCTTAATTAAATAAGCATTATTCACAACAAACTGTTGAACACAAATTGATTGGTTAATGGTTGAACCTCTCTTTTAAAAAGTAGTACACAACATCTCAAACTCAAAAAGGGACATGGATATATGAATGACAATACAACATTTGAAGCGTATTCATTTTGTTCCTTAAACGTTTCCTGTTCTTGTTATAGAAACCTAACGGGAAAAAAATTAATTTTTAATTTTTTTATTTTTTACTGCCCTTCAATATATGCCGAATATCGAATAAGTGCCAATTAACACTAAAACTAAAAAATTAAACAAGGAAATATGGTAACCAACATGTTTCAGTGTTAATGATAGAATGAACAATGCCTTTATGTTGTTTCAGACTTATTGCAGATGATGAAGGAGTCACTGTTTATTACACTCTGGAGAACTCGAGAGTTTTTCACGAACAAGAACCACAGTACATGGAATTCACTTCTGAAGTATGAAAAATTATGGGTCTGTTCACATGATCCTGCTTAACAAGACACCGCATATATTTTGATTTATTTTATACATATTTGATTCTTGTTTGTAAAACTAACAAAAAATAAGTTGGCGGAGGTAATTAATGGCAAAATTATCCAAAATTGTTTTAGTATTAAAAAATAATTTTGAAAGAAGTTCAAATCGGTACTTCATGCGTTGTATTCATAGAACAACACAATGCATTTTTAGGTGTTTTAATAATCCCACTTTGATGATAGGAAAGCTGATGTTTTACGATAATGCATGTGCACTGCCTATCATGCAAGAAAACTGATCACTAAAGAAGTGCGTTATATAAGAGTCAAAATCTGTTAAAAAATTACTCTGCAGTTTTGACTGCTTTTTCAAAAGACTGCACTGCAACATCAACATGCCACTACAACTAAAGTTATATTCTTTACATATCATAGGGATCGCCAGTAATTGAAGATATAACAAAAAAATTTCCAAGCTATGTTGCAATCAAAGACTTGCCAGGAGACGATATGGAATTTAAGGTTCGTGCTTAGACTTGGTTCAAGTCCGTCTCTCAAGGGGTTGAAAATAGCGATGCACGCGAGATGTTAAAAATGGCGCGAAAATATGAGAGAAAAGTAGGGAGAGACAGACTTGGATACCCTGCAAGCGCGCCAACAAATTTTCGCGCCAATTTTTGCAAGTTACATTCGAAAATTATGCTGCGAATGTCCCAAGTCCGTCTCTCCCTACTTTTCTCCCGAGACGGACTTGAACCAAATCTAGTTCGTGCTACACACATTTTCATTTGTGTGTATGTTTATGTGTGTAAAGCTTAGACTGGCAGTAAAGAAGGAAATAGCATGTGTATCATGTTCTATGTTCTTTCTCCAGCCATCTAGGCTGCGATAATTTAAAGGGCATATGACTCGAAAATTGACGGTGTTATTTTTTAGTCTAAATTGAAAGATTGAAAACCGTAGAGTAACTTCTTTGACAGATTTTTGTTTTCTTGCTTCGTTTTGGAGATCTTTCATTTTGTATGATATGCAAAGGACCAACTTCCTACGTCATATATGATTACGTCATATATGACAAAATTATATAACATTTTAAAGAAAGTCATTATACATGTGTGACGTAGAAAGTTGGTCCTTTGCATATCATACAAAATGAAATATCTCCAAAACGAAGCAAGAAAACAAAAATCTATCAAAGAAGTTACTCTACAGTTTGCAACGATCTTTCAAATTACACTAAAAAGTAACACCGTCAATTTTCGAGTCATATGCCCTTTAAGATTCTTAGTCGTACCTGACTGGTACGCCAATGGTTGTTCCCATGTACTTGAGCTGGTACAAAGTACAAACTCAGTACTCAATGTACAAAGTACTACAGGTTTCTGTAAGGTACGTTCAGACTACGAAGTAGAAAAAGAAGCACAATTGCATATAATACAAATAATCGACTGAAGTCGACTCCAACGTTTCGTAGTGCCATCAGCCAATCCTGTTTCATGCCTTGGATATCTCCGACACATGATACATATACCAAATTATTTACGATATTGAATACCTTGGGTTTGGAAAGGTTATGTGGTACCAGCAAAATGTGGGTACGCAGATAGCAAGAGTTCCGCGTACGTACGGGTACGTGACTGAAAACAAAGAAGTACCAGACTGTAATATTGGCTTACCTCCGGTACATAAGTACGCGAATTATCGCACCCTGGCCTCTCGTACACAGCGGGGAGCAAGGGGGGCAACTGCCCCCCCTCCCCCAGAGAAGACTATATATTGACGATTTTTAGAATGTCATTATTAAGTATACTTTGGATATTTGGGACTTTTTCGGCATATAGGCCTTATTGCCCTCCCAGTGAAAAAATCCTGCGTACGGCCCTAGGCAACAGCCTTAACGTGATAAACGTGCTGGGTTTTCTTTTTGTAAATATATAATTTATACCTTGTTTGATTTTTCCTGTTCAGATTGATCTGCTGACTATGTTGTATGAGAAAGGAATAGTCATCACAAAAGAATCTTTAACATCAAAGACAACATGAGACGTGACATGAGACATGTGACTGCACGGTATCATACTCTACATGCTTAATTCAGTTCACAAACATCAGGTGGGCATATAACCCAATGCATATACCCAGACTATGTTTGCATAGGTGACTGATCTCAAAACCGTACTAAAACTTGAACGGAATGATGAAACACATATTTCGGTGAGGAGTGAAGGTCCTATTTGTAGGCAATCGCTCAAACTTGTGGGTGTTGGGTGGCTGTTGGCAGGTTGTCGATCACCATTAATTATCTGGTCAAGTTCTGTGATTGGTTGATTACAACTAGGATTCTCGTATCAAAAACTGAAAAACGGGAGAAAAAAACACGAAAAAAGTGTGAATCGATTTTTTTAAAACACTTTCAAAACTAGGTAGGTACTCAATAACTGTACTTACACGTACGTCAGAATAATCACAGATTTGTAACTGTGTAAACAGTTGGAATCATGCAAGTTTGAGTAGAAGCCCAAAATCCATCCAGACTAGTGTGTGAACATCGTCATAGATTCATAGACTGCTAATTTTTAAATTTATGGAGTAAACCGAATAGTAGGAGGATCTGATGGGTAAATGAGTGCCAGTAGGTGGGGGATATTTGTTTCCCTTGAGAAATCTTATGCCCCTGAAGTAAGGATTTTTCTGTGCATAATTTCAGCTTAGCTTATATCTTTATGGGGCCTAGTTGAAACACCACACTTATCACATCCCAAACTTGAATGCTTTTTTTGAGCTTACAGTATTTGCATTAAGCATAACCGTGAAATGATTGCTGTTTGATTGTTTGAATGAGGCATACGTACTAGTGTATAGAAAACGAACTATAAAGCATATTGATAACAATTTTTTTTGTATGATATATATCTAATTCTATCAATAATTATAAAAGTTGTCGTAGATGATAATTTTATTGTTCAGTAGTTTTCTCTGCACTTTCATCGACTCTCTTTTGTGCACCAACAAATTCTGTATAATCTATATATCCGTCCTTATTTGTGTCATCCTCTTCCAAAATTTGATCAATCATGCCTGCTAATTGTTCGTCTGAGTATGTAGTTGTGTCTTGTTTGTCATCTTCTTCATGAAAATGTGTCATGGCATTTCCTAGTTCAATGCCGTCCAATCTGTTGTTGTTGTCGTAGTCGTGTAATTTGAAATAATGAAATTGAAGATCTTCATCGCTCATTGGTTCTTCTTTGACATCCGTAACATCTTTCAAATGTTCTTTGATATGACTAGAGAGAATAAATCGAGATTAAAAGTTTAACCAAATTAATTTATTCAAACTTATATTTTGGTTGGTCTAATGACTGTTGTTTCACTACTAAAGTAGGATGAATTGTAGGCTGACCCCATTAAGCCACAATGTGCTCTAATGGTCCATCTACATATGACTAGCCATATACAATTCTTATCCTGGTCTATATACTCAAATAAATGCATGTAAAGACATCATGTTGGTTTTGCCTATGATTTTGGTGTAACCATTGCAGCGCTGTTGCCATGTTCCTAGACAGTGTGGTTAGAGGGGCATTCACCCCCCTGAGAATATTCAAAATTGTGGACATTCAGGGGGGTGAATGCCTCTCATAAATTCACTGGCTAGAAACATGGCAAGTGCATGTTGATGACAAATCATTGCGTATCATGACCTCAGTGATCATGGCATGGCGGCAATTAAGCTTTTCGGCTGTGTTGGCCTTCTGTAAGGTCTCTATTCTGTGATGTCAAAATTTCACCATAAACTGATGAACAGTTCTCGTATGCCAGAATGATAATCATATACGAGGACTACATGCATGGTCGTACTGTCTATATGGGCCTTTACATGTAATGTAAAGGCCCATTTAACAATCTATTAAAATTTCTGTCGATAAACACCAAATGATTTTACCCATCAAGGACAAAGTGTGAACAAGACTGTGAACATCACCTCGAATATTTTTTATTCCTGTGTACATGGCTACTTACTCTTTGTCATGGACATGTTTTGAATCTCGTAGCCTGCTATGTTGGTCATGACCTTCGTCAGCCAAAGATTTCGTTACAACGAGGATAAATACAACAATATAACGACAAATATCCATTCCTATATATATTTGATTGCAAGAGTTAGAACTAGAAATGTGGTAGTTCGCTCTTGATACTATATTTTGAGATTTAAATCACTATATATATATAACTCAACGTGTTCATTTCTGGTTGAACAAAACAATTCTATATATAAACAACTTAGCAACCAAGCCTTTGTCATCTATGCTTTGTCAGAAAGAACAGTCACTGATCTCGGAAGTAAAACTGAATGGAACTTTCAACAATATATTCAACATTGGGGGTTATTTCAGGCCCGTTTGAAGGGCTTATTAGAGGAGGACATGATAGGAAAGCATAGATAAAGGAGCTTTTGAACTGTTCCCCAATTAAAAATTGTGGTGACTGGTTTATACGAGGGTTTATAGCTCTGCCTCTGCAACTGGAGCCAGGACTCTGTAGGCTGTAGCTCAGTAGGCAGAACGGTGCACCAGAATCACAGGGTTGCAGGTTCGATTCCTGCTTGCAATTGTCCTAGATTTCTTAGATTTCTCTTGATTTACGCCTTTCTCGAAACATATATCCATCTACAAAACCCAAACTCCAGTCACTTGAGATCAGTGACTGTCTTTCGAACACCAATGTGTCATGCGCAGAACAAAGAGTATTCGTGGCAGCAGTAGCAATGGTGGAAAATATTAGAACGTGAATTTAGTATTTAATATATTGTTCATCAAAGTGATCTATGGCTAATTTAACTATAACTGACGATGATTCAGTGTTATCTGATAGCATAAACCATGATGAAAGTCAAGATGTGTATAAGAAGTGTTTCACGTTGCGTGATTATTATAAACAATGTCTGAGTTTCTATCACAAAGGTGAGTTGTTGAAAGTTTTCGTATTGTTGCTTTGTACAATTCCTCAACTCCAAGAATATTTAGACGATATTCCTGGGGTTGAACAAAGTGAAATAGCTGAGAGCGTGAACTATGTAAGCGTGAAATGACTGTTAGTGAGGCAAGCATTCGATTGTTTAATATTTTCCACTTGCATCAGTTGCATGTAGACCCCAAAGTGGATATTTCCAAATTTCATGTACAATTTTCAGGAGGTATACAGCGCAGAGTTTTGTCATGGCGGCATCTGGCTGGCACAATGCAAAACTTTAAAAGCAATAGTATTATAAATAATTCAAAGTCAATTGTGAAGATTTCACCTGTTTATTAAGTTTCAAAGATCTTCAAAGGAAATAGATTTGCTAGATAATCCTCTTGATGAGTAAAATGTCTGGACATTTATAGACAGAGTAAAATAATAAAGTAGGGTGCATCAGGTGCAATGCAACATAATGGATTAACTAGGCACATGGGCAAGAAAGCTGCAGGTTGAGAGAGATACGACTACCTGAAAAATACAAGCAGAAATTTTGAGTGAAGGAACCTTATACGTCAGGGCTGCAAATAAATATTTGACTTGACAGGACATTTGTCCGATCACTTTTAATTTTCGTCGGACATAACTTGAATTTGGTCAGACATATATATGTTGCACAAGATATATAGGTATATATAAGTCACGAGACAAGTATGCATGTACAGCCATTCCGGTGCAACGTTAAGTAAAATGCTAGAATGCCTCGTAAGTTTTATTGCAAAACGTAAATTGAGTGAATTTGCAATCGGATTTTGTCAAAGCAAAAAAAATGTATAATGTGACAATATATTTTTTTGCTTGGACATTTGCCAGATTTAGTCGGACATTGTCCGATGTCCTACAGTAATTTGCAGCCCTGTAAGTACAAATAAAATGTCTTGCAATTTGTAACAAGTCCCGTAATCTGTCCTGTGATGAGATATCATGTTAGTACTTTAGCATTGTGCCCTAATTGTGCCCTACTTTATTATTTTACTCTGTCAAATGCCAGATGATTTTACATGTCAAAGGGAAAGCACTGGCACTCAATGGGTATAATGTTTTTGTTTGTATTGCATTAGTATATATTAGTAATTTATTGTTTAGTTTATTGAGTTTCTCACTCTTCTATAATTGTTTTATAAATTACACCCATGTGTCTTGTATATGTAACACCCAGCATGTTGGCAATGTTAAATAAATAAATAAACAAATATTATAACCATATATAATTGATTAAAAATACCAGGAAGTACAGGAATTAAGGCAAGTTCTCTTTTGCTAGCTGTTTTGACATGAACATTTATATGCAAAAGTTGGTTGTTTTTTAATAGGAAAAGATGTAATAAAAATAACATATCAAGATAAAATCAGATTGACTGCTCTCTGGAAACAAGCGTCTGTTGGGAAATATGATCCATCAAAAATCCCTGAAGTTGGCTATTTTGATGTTGTTGGGAATGACAGAAAGTAAGTTTCATGAATTGTGTTTATATTAATAATATTTTAAATACATTTTTGATATCTGTGTGTTTTGTAATATTATTTAAGAGGAGAATCTTTTGTATGTTTTGTAACACACGCTCAAAACTAATCAATATTATACTTTTCCACTTGGTTATGAGTATATTCAGTTTTGTACATTTTCCAACTGGCAAACAAGAACTTAAAAAGTATATTTAGTGCTTTGTCTGTAAAATTGTACTAAATTGAAGAGATTTTGGATGGTATGCCAAGGTGTAAAAAAAACAACTTGTGGTTCCGGTTCCCGACGACCCTATTTTTTTCTGCCGACCCTATTATTTTTTCAACGCGATTGACCATGCGACCCTATTTTCTCCGGGTGGTTGCGTGCTGCTCATACATAGCATGCCAAAATGGCGTCTGTTGTCACACTAATTATTGAACCAAGTTGCCTAAATTCGTCCATAGGAAATACGCATCTCTAGTTTAATATTGATGTCGGGACTCTACTGCAAATCGCCCAACAAAAACCACCAAAACCATGAAAAAAATATTTTAAAAAAAAAATTTCCAACCTACCGACCCTAATTTTTTCACGATATGAAACCAGAACCACAGGTATTTTTTTTTTTTTACACCCAAAGAGAAAATGATGTCTGAAGTCCAATAAGTTTTGCTTATATTGCTGTACAAATATATGGCATCAATTGTACAGATAATTGTATTTAAATTGACAGTATTTAACTATTATTCTCATTCTGTGTTTTTTTATCAATTGGCAGATACATTCAAAAAGTTGGCTAATTGTGTAAACTACAGAATAAAGCTAAAACAAAGTAATTTTGAGAGGAACACCAAAAAGATTTAATGTTTTGAACAATTTTCATGACAAATAGACAACATTGAAAAATAAAAAAAAAACTGCCTGATAAATAAAATGGAGTTGGAAGTTTTGAATCCTTATAGTACTTTATTCTGACTAATTCCCAATTAGGATAGCTTGGGAAGGTCTTGGAGATATGGCTAAAGAAAAAGCGATGGAAGAGTTTTGTAGTTTGGTGGAGAAGATAGCACCAGAGTTGGAGGCATACCTTGAAGCCCAGTGTCGGGAGATAGAGGAAAATAGAAGAAAGAAACTCGAAGAAGAGCGGAGAAAAAGAGAAGAGGAAGAACAAAGGAGGAGAGAAGAAGAAGAGAGACTGGAACGAGAGAGATTGTTGAAGATTGAAGAGCAGAAGAGAAGGGAAGAGGCTGAAAGAGAAGAACAGAGGTTTGGTTCATGATTTTTACTCCTTAGTTTTCATGTTTTTTAAAGTAATGAAGTTACAACTCACCTATGACAATGTAGGCTAGTTTTGTGCTTGATTTATACGGAGTACAAGTAGGTTGCATGTGACAGTTTTAGGCAAAAGTTGTGTAGTGTAAAGCAGCTTATTTGTAAATCTAAAACTGGGCATAGACACCTGGATGCGAGTCATTGTTTAGTGCCATACATTTTAGGAAGAAGGAAGAAAGTCTAAAAGCTGAACAAGAGAGGACATCATTGATACAAGCCAAACCCCAGGTAGCTTCTTTAAAGCTATTATTAATTTTTAAACTCCTATTGTTTGGTTTACATGTAGTATATAATTGTTAATTTATGGTGGATCCAAATGATGTGTTCTGAGTTGATTAAAATTGTAGTTGAATCATGTAACTTGATTAAAATAGAGTATCTTAGTATTTTAAAATGTATCAAGGTCATACAGTACTTTCATGTTTCACATATCAATAGGGACAAAAGTTGTCTTGAAACCTGAAACTCAAAATCAAAGTTGAAGATAGCATATACACTAAGTGAACGTTTCTGTACAATGTACTGTAAAATATTACTCACTGCTGCTTAAAAGATATTTGTACACTTTGTATTTAGGCAATTTAAGAGTTTTAAAAAGTGAAAGCAACAGAAAACCAGCTATTCTTTCTCCCATTCAACGGAATATTTAACAATTATTCGCCAAAAGCGAGGTGATTATCGGGGAATATTCGTCGAGACGAAGTCGAGGTGAATATTTCCCAATAATCACCGAGCCTGATGCAAATAATAGTTTTAGTATTTTTGTGTTTTTTTTGGGACTGAATTTATTTTAATTTCGCTTGTTTTTTTATCAGTATAACGTCCACAAAACGGCTAGCCGCCATTTTGAAAATTTCGGTTTTGTTATATTCACCTGTACTCTGTAGGTGAATATAACAGCTTAATACGTAAAATTTGACCAATCAACTTGTAGGATTTGTTATGTTCACTTCTGCAAAAATACTAATTAACCTTATTATCCTGTTGCCCTATGTTCAGGTGAATGGGTCACCATCTATTGCCCCAGCTTCACTGTGGTCACGTCCTAAAGTTCAAGAGTTCATCCAACACGTGAGAACAGACCCTGGTTCTGTCTTAGTTGTTGGCAGAGGAGAAACAATCACTGTGCGTGTACCAACGCATGAGAACGGTAAGAAATGAAATTTGAATAAATTTTGCCAAATGGCTCAAATCATCTGCTGAAAAATGTTTTCTGGGCGCCTCAACTGGGAATCGAACCCAAGGACAAGGTTTAACGTCCTACACTATAGCGCTCTGACCACTGAGCCAACGCGGGATATCTAATTTAGAGCGAAACGTACACGAAACGTACACTGCATGTATTCCAGGTTCGTGTTCGTATTTTAGCCAATCAGCGCTCAGAAAGGGTTGTCTGAATAGAAATCCATTTTGATGTATTCAGTCAATTATATCTTTCGTTATTCTTTATGAAACTAGTTGAAATTTTGTAATTATGTTTAGTTATGAGAACTATAGCTCTGACAAAAATATGGAATCGAAATAAAGTATATTACAGGAGATATTCAGTTGTTTTAATCATAAAATGGATTTCTATTTGACAACTAGTGCCAGTACTTTTCCGCGTATCAAGATCATCTGGTTCTGTAACAACAGATTGGTTAAAACAATCAACAAATTGGTTGTCTCAGATTTATTTCAACCAGTTTATTGGTTATAATGCTTTTTGTTTGTGGAAACACCACGCAAAATTTATTACTGCAGTAATAAATTTACGAATTACGTGGTGTTTCAATAAACAAAAAGTATTATATGTTTTATCGCCATGCAATCCAACAAAGAACTTGATTTATTGGTTGTTTCAACTAATCTGTTTTTACAGTGTATAAGTTTTCCACATGGAGTCGAATCACTTGCCGAAAAATGTTTTCAGCAAATGGTTAGAGCTCAGTGATTAGAGCACTGGTCCGTTATACCAGAGACCTTGGATCCGATTCCTGGTTGGGATACTCGGAAAACATTTTTCAACCAGTGAATCGACTCCATTTGGAAAAAAACCATGCCACACTGTACACAGCTGAAGGAGAACAAGCAACAAGCAATATTTTGGTTTGTTTGGAAACATAACATTGACATATTTCGTCTTTTAGGTACTTGCTTATTTTGGGAATTTGCGACAGAAACATACGATGTTGGATTTGGGGTTAGTTTTGAATGGACATTGCCGTCGTCTGAAGCAATTACTGTCGAAGTTCATGAGGATGAAGACGGCGAGACGGTACAAGATGGCGAACACGATGAAACACAGAAACAAAGAATTGATGAGATCCTTCCAACGATACGCCGACCTTGCAATGAGGAAGTAATGGTAGGAAGCCATTTATACCCTGGACGTGGAGTGTACCTCCTGAAATTTGACAATTCATATTCGCTATTTCGATCAAAAACACTATTTTACAGAGTATATTATACACGATAATTTATTCAAGCAGAGCAAGGTCTGGATCTGAAGAAATGATAAATATTACAACGGGCAATTTCATTTGAATATTTTCAAAGCATGTACATGTGCGATCCGTATATAAGCGAATTTTGACGTAGTCGTAGAGCTCGCGAGGTTCGAATTTGATATTTTAAAAGTGCTATTGTAGTTGATGAAAATATGGTCTGGAAACACCGCCAAAGCCTTTGCTCTTGCCTTTTATTCATATGCAAACTTGACAATAAAGCAATCATCCAATATGACATCTTCTGGTCGAATCGCTCACTGTTGAAATATTAATAAGCAAAAATCAAACGATTTGTGCATAAGGAATTGAAATGAATAGTAAAATTACTCAAATATATGAACAAATGTAGTCAATACTCGGGGATTTTTGCAATGTTTGGGATTATCCCAAACCACCCTGTCGACATGTGACACCCACGTAGAAAACCCACAACTTTCGGTATGGCGTTCACTTTTCACATGTGACAAATGTCTTCAACTCCGCAACGAGATTTTTTCCCAACGAAAACCAACGATCTCAAAGGTGAAAGGCGCTCACCACCGAATCCTCTATAATAATAACTTGTTGCTCTTAAGTATTTTATTTAGGTGCTAAAGCTAAAATTTTCCAATTGTTAGTTTGCGGTTTATATATCCAGCCCGAAACACCCACAATGAAATTTCAATGAAAAAGGCGGGAGTTTTAAACATGCACTTATATAGGCCCAAGCCTGTTGGGGGAAAAAGTTGTCTTGTTTTTGAATTTTGATAAATTTTCAGCTAGTTGATTGGTAATACATACTGTTTAAAAATATGTCGTCATATTTTAGACGTAACACAATAAATGCCAAATGTAACTTGAAAACAGGGCATTTTTCGCTAACACAGCATGGAAGAAAGCAAAGACGTTGACAATTGCAACAGTGCTCTATAAATTTTATTCAAGACATTCACCTGTGTTATGAATTTAAAAATTTCTGTTTTCTGTCTCAAAACATTTGCATGTGTGTGGTTACTGGTTATACTTCTTGTTCATGGTTAAGTTACCTGTATCAGTTTTAAAAAACATATGTGATGTAATTTACAGCACGGTACAGCGAGCTTACTTGTTATTCTGCTCATGCTGTTTTCGCTCATAAATCAGTCATTGTTTGACAAGACTGAAGGCATCTCTAAACACAATGCCTATAAACAGTTCTAGATGAGTTTATGACAAAAAGTAGGATTATAAAGGTAATTATAAAGCTCATTATTCCCACACAGTTTTGCTCTATAAATCATTTAACAAAAAAGGCAACGTGGGTGTATATATTAAATGATGCGACACGCATTGTATTGTGCATCTGAGTGTCGAACGCTGAGTGTTGATTCTTCATAAACAGTGAAAAAAGAAATAAAGGTAAGTTTTTTACAAGTGGCATTTTTGCTTTTCACATGGTTCTTTTTTGTTTTGTCTTTGATACCCCCCCCCAAATGTTATTTTTGGACATTGTATGTCAAAGGGATTTTTATGAACATGACCACCGATTGCGCTGTATCGTATGCCGTATCAGCTGCGTTCTTGTGTGATCAAAGCAGCTATAGGATTTTGTTTGGGGCGAGTATAGAGCATAATTAGAAGGGGTTTATTATAGTTTGGCGGTTGTGGCGCATTTGAGAGGGCGAAGAAGAAACACTCGGTGATGGAAAGTCGATGAGCATAGCCAGACTATATTACATAACATAAGCTCCATTTGAAGATTGACTGCCTTCACAATAATAAAATAGAATGAAGCGTAGTAAATTTGTCATTGTCCATTGAGTATATCTGCTATACTCCTATAGAAAAATTGTCGAAACATGGGAAGTCGGAACTGCATGAGTTTGTAAATTATTAAATGTAGATCAATTCTTATGCAAAAAAAAACAAAACGGCTTATGGGACGTATAGCAATAGCAACTATGGCTATGCATGCAGTTTTGGAACTGTCAATTGATTATCGTTATTTGAAAGTATCAATGGGCCTCCATGTATCATGCAAAACCTTTTCAAATTTCCTCCGGATAAAATTTAAAGTTTCCAAACCTTCCTCAAAATAAATAAAATAGATATGGTTTCATCAAATAGCAATATACTAGAGTATATAAACTTAACTGATTCTGAAAGCATAACACACAGTACATGATTCTAATATATAAATTTGCCATAATAGATTTATACTTTGGACAAATTGAATAGTCCTTACCTACTATGTCCACATCCTATATCATATATTGAATATAAAATAATATTTAAAAATGATATTACTGTACTTGTGGTTTCGAAAGGCATTTGAGAGTGTTTAGGTCTTCAGACGTGTGACCCAATTGCCCAATTTCACAATCAGTGAGGCAGCGAATGCTCTCACTTGTTTCTGAGGCAAAGTGCTAAATTTAAACCAAGCCGTATAGTGCCCTGCATGACAGTTTATGGCAATGTTTGGAGTGGTTGAAAATCAATGGCAATGCCAATGGCAATATATCTCTATACCAGATGCTGCCAATCCTGCAATATACTTATATAGTTTGTGGGAATTGACAGTGTAGGTATCAGGCATGTAAATAATGATTTCGATTATAGGACCTCAATATATTCTGTTGATCTGTATTAAATATGTATGACAGCTACACAACTCAGTAATTAAGCTGTACTTTTTTTGTCCGACTCACATCACACATGCTAAAATTTCTTCCTCAACTTTGTTTAATATAAGGCCATTATTTATATAACACAAGGAAGTGCTGCCTCGCCGCCAAAACTTTGGGTTAACACTATAATGGAAACATAACACTATTATAATTTTTAAACAATGAAAATCGGATTTTATTGTAACAATCGCGTGCATATATGTTACAACAATATTCTAATTGTCTAAAATTAACAAAACAGTTCTCTGCAATGAAACGCTTCGCCCAGCGACTACGCTCGTGTTCCCAGATCCGCCATGTAAAGTGTAGTGAAATGTATCTCATCGTCATATTAAATACTAAGAAAACTAAAGCCTCTGCGGAGGAGAGAGAAACGGGTCCATTTTCTGAGCACTCCAAACAATTGTAGTATTACAAATCGGGTGTTTGGGTATCAATTTCCCGTTTGCAATCTAAAATGACTGAAAATTGCAAACTTCGCAAGGCTATATTATCCGCATTTTACAACATTTCGCATCGAAACTTCGGAATATTACTAATTTTGTGATGCTCTTTCAAGCTGTGATGAAATTTTTGTCTAGATCAAAATTTTAGTTATAAGGTTAAAGGTCCATTAAGGTACACGGAAAAATGTTGAAGATAGTCATATCTTCACATATCAAAATCGACAATGTTTGGTCTTATATATTAAACATTTTTATAAACACGGCAAGCACACTGTAACTACTAAAATCTAAATTCGACTTAATTGCAACCGAATTTATCTCTAGTGGTCCATTGTAACTACAGAACGAAAGACTAGACCATGCAGAGGGTACTTGTTTAGATCTTGTATTTGTCGTTTTGGCAAAAGCTACCTAAGTCTTAATTTTCATTGTTAACATTCGTGATATCATTTGGTTTTGGAATTCCACCTCATTAGTCAGTATGATTAAAATGTTCTTCGTCGAGGTCCAGTGTAAGGAGAATTATAAGCACCAATGGACTTGGGTCGAAAGCTTCGCCAAAAAAGGCAAAGCCGAGGCAAAGAAATAAACCTGTCCACAAAACAAAACAATTATATTTATTTTTACCATTCAAACCTTGGCATTTGTGCTTTACAACAATGCTACCAAGGTAACGAAATATCTTTAAAGCAAAATACACCAATTGCCATATTTGGAAACCCCATGCATGCACAAAATGCTTGAGAACGACTATCTTTTTATCTCCAAATTACGGCAAATAAAAAGATTTCGAAAGTTCTTGAAATATATGTTTAGCGTTGGCGTAATTGCCTGAATGTCTATACAAAGTCTTGTCTTGTGTGATATTTGGCCAAAGGCAAGCCGGCAAGGGCATGGCCATGCATGAAAACAGGAGTAGGTAGTGCCAATAATATAACAAGCTTTCGTTGGTAGGGATTGTTTCGCCCCCAAATCATTAGATATCAATCCCTATATAGGCGAAACAATCCCTACCAACGAAAGCTTGTTATATTATTGGCACTACCTACTCCTGTTTTCATGGCCATGGCCATGCCCTTGCCCTTGGCCAAATATCACACAAGACAAGACTTTGTATAGACATTCAGGCAATTACGCCAACGCTAAACATATATTTCAAGAACTTTCGAAATCTTTTTATTTGCCGTAATTTGGAGATAAAAAGATGGTCGTTCTCAAGCATTTTGTGCATGCAGGGTTTCCCAATATATGGCAATAATTGGTGTATTTTGGTTTTTAAAGATATTGCGTTTATACCTTGATACCATTGTTAATAAGAGGGACCTTGTAGGTTGCATGGTAAAAATAAATATAGAAAAATATATATATTTGTGGACACGTTTATTTCTTTGCCTCGGCTTTGCCTTTGAGGCTTTGCCAAGTCCATTGGTGCTTATAATTCTCCTTAAGGACATACCGGACGCCAGCCTAGACCTAGGCCTTCTATTTTTATTGATATTTTTTTAATATTCAGCGCTTTTTCACATGAAAAGATTGGGAGTCCCAGTCTTTTCATGTGAAAAAGCGCTGAATATGAAAAAAATATAAATAAGACTAGAAGGCCTAGGTCTAGGCTGACCGGACGCGATTCGACAATTATACCGTTTACACGACAAGCGTATTGGACACGGCACCCCTGAAAATGGGCACCGTGCCAAAACTCCCACTTCGCTATTTTTACACGACAACTTTTTGTAAACACACTTTTATGATAAGCACCGTGCCCATCGGAAAAAAGCACCTCTACTTTCCGTTTACGACGGTATATTTTAAAGAATAAAGATGTCGGACAGAAATAGAATTATCTCAATACTAGAAAAGTACTTTATAAGGGCCTGTTCATATGCATGGGAAAAAGTTATCCCGGTAATAGCGAGAAAACTTTTCGACAAGTTTACAAGCGAGATCTCGCCTTTTGGAAAGAGGACAAATTGTTTTGCGCATGCTCGATGTCAAACACTTTTTTATTTGTTTTCGAAATTTGGGCACGGCACCGCTTGCTAGACGTGCCGAGACTACCACGTGAGAAAGTCTCGGCACGTTTAATTTTTGGGCACCGGTGCCAATTTTTGTCACGTTTACACGCCAAAAGGCAGAGGTGCCGTGCCTAAAATTTTGGGCACGGGTGCTCATTTTTAGGGGTGCCGTGCCCAAAACACTGGTCGTGTACACCGGCCTAAGCGTTATAACATTTTGAGTTATTTGGTCTACATATCTTTTAAAATTTGCTCTCATTGGCTGTTTCATCAACTTTCAAAAACTACAAAATCGCGTCGCGTTGTCGAATCGCGTCCGGTGTGTCTGGACCTTTGGAATTCCAAAATCACGAATGTTGACAATGAAGAATTAAGTAGCTTTTGCCATAATACCATGGAGAACCGACAATTATATAATAACTACAATGAAACACGCAATTTGATTGGTCAAGAGCCGTGCAGGATCAGGCTATCCTGCACGAGGAATTAAAATGCCTTCGCGGGATTCTCGAAAATACGGCTCGAGCTTTGTTTCACTGTAGTTATTTTGTAAAACAATTACCAAATGGTTTTCCAAGCAGGATAGCGTGATCCATGGCCATGCACTTGGGATGTTGCTCGACTTTCGGAAAGCGTAAAAATACACTCGCATGCGGCTCGACTATTTTTACGCTTTCCGAAAGTCTCGCGACATCCCTCGTGCATGGATCACGCAATCCTGCACGGAAAACCATTCGGTATTCCTGTAATACAAGATCTAAACAAGTACCCTCTAGTATAAGTATACCCTCTGGTCTAATCTTTCTGTAGTTACAATGCACCATTAGACGGCTCTGTAAGAACATGCAGTCTACAACAAATAAGCTATCCAGTATAAATAAATTTAGTTTCACTGAGTTATGTTGAATTTAATCGTCACAGTGTGCTTGCCGTGTTTATAAAAATGCATGTTTAATTAATAAGACCAAATATTGTCGATTTTGATATGTGAAGATATGACTATCTTCAACATTTTTCCGTACCTTAATTAAACAGAAAACTTTGTCAGCATCGCATATAAGCTTTAAAATGATATACAGTATATAACATACTCGTACAAATATATTTGATATTTCTTGAAAGTCCTGGTATTAATTTCCTTAACCTCCAACTGTGCCAACATTAGTGATTTTGATTAAAACTACTGAATAAAGTAAATTATTTTCAAAGATTTTTCCCAGTTCTAGGTCCTTGAATTTACTGAAAAAGGGTCTTGAAAGTCCTGGAAAAGTCCTTGAATTTCACCTTCACCAAAGGGTGGACACCCTTGTATACAGTTGCTACGTCCCATAAGCCGTTTTGTTTTTTGCGTAAGAATGGATCTATAATTTACAAACGCCAGTTCCGACTTCCTATGTTTCAACTATTTTTTCTATAGCAGATATACACAATGACTGAAATTTACTATGCTTCATAATTAGATTTTATTTTTGTAAAGGCAGCCAATCTTCAAATGGAGCTTATGTATATAGTCTAGCTATGCTCAACGACTTTCCATCACCGAGTGATTACTTGTTCACCGTGTAAACCGCATGCACGAATTAAAATTGAGTATATCCGAAAATTGCCCTCTCAAATGCGCCACAACCGCCTAAGCGCCAAACTATAATGGTGATTGCTAGAAAGTATACTTCAAAATAAGGTTTCCGTTTTTATAACGTAGAAAAAACCATCCTAACGCAAAACTAAACCCTAATACTAATTCTAACCACGACCCCCTTCGTCTGAAGTTAGTAGCGGGGGCCGGAAAAATTAAATCCATCTGATTAGTTTATTTTTTGTCATGCGATCGCTTTTATATTCTTAGTATAAAAGCTCATGTAATTTTCCGACCCCTGCTACTAACTTCAGACAAGGGGCCTTCGCTCGAAACGTCGAAAGCTTGTTGAGCAAATCTACCTTCTGGGGCTGGTTGTATAAAAAAGTGATTAAAGTTAACTATGATTAAGTGCAAACGTCATCCAATAAGAAGCGCCTATTTGAGAGTTAATCACTATTTAACTACAAAATAGTGATGAAAAAAGTGATTAAGAGTTTTATACCACTGGCCCCTGATTTACAAGGCGAAATTGGCAACGATGTTTGACTTAGTTTTCGATACATCCTGTGTATCGACATTTCGGAATTTCTTCTTCGATGTCTGATTATGTCTATTATTCTGGCAAATGATTATTTTTTAACTACGGAGCACGGTATATTATGATTATTTTTTGTTCTGATTTTTTTGGTTTAATATTTTCTAGATAAGTTTAAGTAATGAAGTCATTAGTGATAAGCTTGGCTTTGCTCTCATTGTTGATGGGTATGGTCCGAGGTCATGGCTATCTCAAAGTTCCACCCGGCCGTGCAAGTCGCTGGCGTTATGGCTTCCCTGGTCCAAACGAATACACTGACAATCAACTGAGCTGTGGCGGTAGGTCTGTCCAATGGTCGCGACATGGAGGCAAATGTGGTGCATGTGGAGACGAATATGGTATCAGCAACCCCAAGTATGTCTATCCTGGTGCCTTTGCAAATCAACCACCAATTGTGAAGACCTACACCGAAGGATCACTGATTGAAGTGACTGTGAAAATAACAGCCAATCATAAAGGGTATTTCATATTCCGCGTAGCGCCATTGGTTAATCCACCGATCACGCAAACAGATCTGGATAACACCATGCTGGAACTGGAGAATGGTGATCAGGAATGGACTCTGGGTGATACTGGCGCTGGTGATTATACCATCACACTCAGGCTACCCACGGGATTGTCATGCGACCACTGCGTACTTCAATGGTGGTATACCACCGGGAATAATTGGATGGGGAACGAACCAGAGACATTCGTCAACTGTGCTGATATCAAGATCTTGCCTGCAACCAACCCACAGACAGGCACAACCGTCCCAAGTTCTGCAACTACATCAAGTGCTGGCACATGTCCACCTTGCAACTGCCCTACTGTTTGCCCGACTGTTACACCTTGCCCGAGTCAACCCGCACCACCTGTCACTGCCCCACCTGCTACTACCCAACCCGCACCACCCGCGACCAACCCACCCGCACCACCTGCCACTGCCCCACCTTCTTCAGGGTGTTATGCTGTATCGCCAACAGCGACTGATGCTTGGTGCACTGCGAATTGCGCAGCTGGATACTGCCCTGCATCACACTGCGCCTGCAGTTAACTGTATCACGAGGGTCTAAACGTTCAAATAGAAGCAAGTGAAGATGGTTCCCGACAAGTCACTGTCTTTATCTGCTTTTTATCTTGGATATAAATATTCATCAATTGCTTCTGTTTTGATCGTTCTGTTATTTTTATTAATTAACTAGTATTATTATGTGCCTTGCATTACATAGACTGCACAGGTGGTGCCTTGGTTTTCGATAACGAGAAATGTATATATTGATTTTAGCAAGAAAGGGACTTCTTGGTCGTTTTAATATTATAGTTTCAGCCGCCACTAAGTTGAAAGGTGCCGATTCAGTGATACATGACAACCATTATCTTCCTTGATACAAAAACCATCTACAATCTTTGCCAGAAACTATGGGACAGCTGCTGTAATTTCATATAATTTGAAAGGAATAGCGCCCCCCGTTCCCCCAGTTCAGTGTTGGGTCAACAAAAATCTGATGTCTGGATACGCGACGCCAACATTGAAACGGGTGGGGGGAGGGAGGGTGGAAAATATGTATCAGGAAATGGTATTTTACAACCGAATGCATGTGAAAACTAGATTGTCCCAATCTATATTGTCAAAGATTGTAGAATTTCATAAAAATATATATTATTAATTTCATAAATAACTCTTATTTCTACAAATGGATTTTTATCCTTTATTTGTAACAATGAAATGTTATTTCTACACGCACAGCGTCTGTTTATTGTCCCTACATCTACATAATGCACCTATCGTATTTACTCGTTTGAGCGCCGCCCCCGATTGAGCGCCGCCCCCGAATGAGCGCATCTGAAGTTCTTAAAATTTAAAGAGCGCTCAAACGAGTAAATACGGTAATTGAATCAGCGTTCTTGATTGCATACAGACCTCTCAACTCTCACGCATTCGGCGTGAGTCTCACCAGGGCGTACGCCCTGGTCTCACGCAATTCGCTTCACTCTCACGCCACGTTTAGTAAATCTCACGCACATAGCAGTTTCATAGTATTTTTTCAATAATAAATATATTGTATTCTTAAATGCACATTATTAATCATTATACGGATCGCGAATCGAATATATAATCACGTGTTATACGGCCCGACATTTTGCCCACAATTTGGATACAAAACAGTACGCATATGTAAATACGGCGGACAAAAGGCAGAATCAGTCGGAGCAGAATTCTATATGTAATTAATGTAAATTATCAAAGGAAATTAAAGGCACAGTTCAGCCTTTTGAATGATGGTTTTTAAGGAGCGTTTCAGGCCTTTTAATTGAAAAAACTAACTAGGAAAATCAATTAAGCATAATTCAAGATCAGTAAACTTAATGTTTTTAACATTTTAAAAAGATTTTTATTGTTAAAAACATTGATTTTCCTAGTTAGTTTTTTCAATTAAAAGGGCTTTAATCCATCACTCAAAAGGCTGAACTGTGCCTTTAAAGCTCATTACTGTATGTCACAGAAATTCATCAAAAAAGACCAACTTTCATAATGTACGAAATGCCCCCAGACAAAAACAAAGGTGTCATCCACATCCCCAATCTCACTCTTAACTTCTCTGCAAAGTTGAGAGGTCTGTTGCATATGTCACTGTCACTGTTTTTGGGGGATTAGCGTTAATCTTGGACAAAAATTTAACCTGCTGTTTCGATTTGTGTATTTCCGCATCTTAGTTTGTTTCAAAATTTTTGAAAATAATATTTCCCTTGTCCTTGATCCAGACATGATATCTGGAAAGACATGATATCAAGTTTATAAACAAGCTGTCGAATAGACTGCTTTGAAGTTTTCGTTAATGCAGGATTAAGCTAACCGCGGCTTTTGAACAACTTGACCTTGAAGTTGATTCAACTCCTTGAAATTCACAATGTTGTTGTTAGGCTTTGCTATTAATGGAGTATGTCTAATTTTTATGCTAATCAAGTGAAATTAATATGTCCTGCAAGCGACTTGCGTTGACGTTAAAAGGTTTGAAAATCTAATAATTCTGACAGGTTTGCTATGATGCTATCTCATTGAGTCCTAGGGCAAATACAATCCGTAATAGGCGAAAATCATGACGAGAATTCGTTAGTCGGAAATCGCTTTTTTGACGCAAAACGAAAATAGCTTGTGAACGAAGCAACCACATCCTTGTACGGAGTGTCTGATCTATCCAATTATCAAAGCTGCATACGCATGTCCATCATGCTTTTGCGCTCAGAGATCGAAGTTTGGCGTTTAAAAATTTAAAGACAACCTTAACTGAATTAGCTGTACACTTGTATATACCACACCTATAATTTTCGTGTGCAGTGACAAACAATTTTTGAAGTGAAAATGTGCAGTGGTAAACAGCAAAAATGTGCAGTGATCATGCAGAATTAAACTTTCAAAATTAATTTAGCTCCTAAACTAAGTTTAAAACCCTCCCGGTTTATCAGTTTAGTTCCATATGAGTGTATTAAATAAAATTTTCCCGGGGGTGGGGGTAGGAGTCCAGTTACCAGTAATTTTCGAACTGGCAGACCTACTATTGCTTATGAGTTATGGTTCTTATGGAATGTGCAGTGATAAAAAATTCATAAAATTAGGTATGTGATATACATCTATAATCGAAGGTGGTATTTACAAATAATTAACATACCTAGATGGCTAGATCCTAATAATAATAATAATAAAAATAAAAAGAATGAAATAAAAATAGGTAAAAGGTAAAAAATGTAAGCATATAGTAAAATTCAGTTATTTAAATTCATTGTATAGCTTCCCGGATGACGGAATAAACGAGTCTCTAAAACGATTAGTTAGATGCATTTAAACGGAACACGTTCTTTGGAAACACGTAAATTGTGACAGTACTAGTGGGACTTTTCACCATGGCCGTTCCATTTTCAAGTCACCGCTACATATTACGCCAAACAATTCTGCCTATACTTTACCACCTCAATAGGCTGTTTGTCAATGGTCATTGGGGAAAATTTGGATTATAGATTTTGAGAGGCAAACAGGAATTTCTTTGCCCTTCCGAGTTTTTAAAGACAAATTATTATTTTCACAACAATGCTTATAATAATTCCATCTAGAGTAATTTGCCGAAAGCCGTTTCTTGATTTGTACGAAAGCTATTAAGGATCAAACGTGCTGAATTTTTATTAATTTTGAGCAATTTTGAACAACACAATATCGCTTGTCTTTTAAAGGCTAAAGGCCATAAACTACCAAGTGAGTTCAATTCAATTTTTACGCTGATCCGGCGAACGGTGGTATTTTTATTCCTGAACCAAAGATAAGGCGCAGCAAAAGTCGGTCGTGAGAGTCCGCGAGGTTAATTGGAAACAAAAATTTTCCAGAAGAAAAGGAAATATAGGGAACGCGGAAGGTTTTTTATTGAGGCGGTTGTGGAAGCATATGATCCCGCACAAACGGCTAAGAAGTTACGGGCAGAATATAAGTGGTGCCAACTGAACTTGGTACGCGCCGCAATTTGCAATGTTATATTTTAATCAGTCAAGTGACGGCAATGGATTGACCGATATCATAGTTGTTACATCCAGTATAAAAATGTTATTAATTGTTAATAGTTATTATTTAAATGCAAGAAATATATATAGTTCATGGCATATTTTGGGAAACCCATCATAATCTGGGCTGGATGATCAGAAAATTATAACTGCTTTCCCGGTCGTTTCGCCACATGCACGTGTATTGAGTTTGTACTGTGCCTGTGGTCTTTATCTGTATTGTGCATTGCGAACTTCATGTGAACGTGTTTGAAACTTGAAAGGTTACCGAAGATAAGTGGCGATCTTTAGTGAGAGTAAAGAGAGCAAGGAGAAAAGTAATTGACGTAACAGAAGTGCTATAGTCTGAGTAGGAAGTAT